TGTGGCAGTGACACCGCATACACTCAGTTACCCGCAAGCATTTGCAAGGCAGAGGACAACACCTTTTTCTTTTGTCAGTGTAAGTTGGGTTCAGGACTTTGATTTTCATGTTTCAAGTTCAAAGAAACGATAAATGCTGTTTAGTGTAAGTAGACCTAATCAACAAATAACAGGTATTCAAGGATACAATCGTTAATTGTTCTTACCATAGATCTGTTGGCCGACAGATTTAATGGGCATGCATTATACAGTGAGACGTTAGATATCGTGATGTTGCGATAACGATAAACGTTGCATATGTAGATAATGTATGTCTTACTTATGTCACTTTTTTTATGTAACAAAATGCTACCTGGTTATGTGGAATTTTATGATAGTATGGTGTTTACAGAAAATAGTTACCTTTACCGGTGTGTAAACTAATCACAGGAAGAAGAATATGTGAGTACAAGGCTGGCTAGAAAATATAAAATATTAGAAACGGAAAGAAAATCCATAATTTAAAAAATATGTATACTTACATATTCTTTGTTTGTCGCAACCTCATTAGATCCAGACCGTGTAGTGAAACCGAGCATTGACGGAAACCTTGGTAAAAAAAAATACATTGCACTCAGACAATGGAAACGCACAGTTCGTCTCTTGGGCTCTATAACTTCATGGACAGGGCATAGAGGAAATCATCAAGGAATTCAAGCTGAAGAACCCTATGGGATTGTATGTGTTTCAGTCCATATCCTTCTCCTTGTGTTAGACACCTAAAAGTAAGCGATTTTGACTCTGCTTCCGGAGGTCGTGCGAAGGACTATAGAAAAGCTAAGTCAAAATGCTGTTGAAATGTTAACCAACAATCCCTAGCTAAAACCACGGATGAGTGATTTATTCCTAGACTTGAAAGAGTGTCACGACCTACAATCATCTTTGATAAGAATTTGTTTGTTTTAGTTGAAGATGTGTTACTACTAATAATAGTTGTAATGTTAAAGGTTAGGTATGGAAATCGGTTAAATATGGGCGAAATGAAGGAGATAATAGATGAAAAGGAAGATATGGTGTAGAAAATGGGATTAAAGACCGTGTCCGATTACGAAGCTCGTCAGTTACATCATATATTCCACCATTTTTGGTGACTGATGTAGGGATATTTACATCTTCATTCTAGTTCCGATATAAAGTGTCTTGAATATTGTTCATTGTGACGAATCGAGATAAGGGGTCTAGATGGGAAGGATCAGTCAAAGCGTTTGATAACCAGTACGATCTAAGTATCCTGTACCAATAATCAGACAACTGTTTTTCATCCTTGTCCTTTCCCGGGACAGGTCGGGAAAGATCAAAAGATAGCCAGAGATAGGTCGGATGTATATGTATATATATATATATATATATATATATATTATATATATATATATATATATATATATATATATATATATATATCAATATCATATGTGTGTGTGTGTGTGTGCACGTGTGTTTGTGTGTTTGTGCGCATTTCAACTTCTTCAGTTGAACAAAATTGCGTCTTTCTGATAGATTTGTAATGAAATTTGGATGCTTATAGATAGCTTAGTATGTTCAGTAAGAGTTGCAAATGCATAGATCTCGCCGATCGATGATATGATGTTTAGTTTGCATTTGCAATTCAGCGCGCGGTTATCCTGGGAAAAACCGAGTAGCCAGAACTGAAGTTGGCCGAAACGTGGTTGCTGTAACTGGGTCTAGTGCGATGTGTATCATAATCTTTGAGTGGACCAGAATACTCACAAGTAAACAACACAAGTAAGTAAAACCGATGGCTATTTCCATCAGAATTACATGATTCAAGGAATCATTTAACGGCGATGAACACTTCATATCGAAAAGGAATATCATATGTTGCACTTGTAGAACTGTTCCGTTTTTATATAAAATTAATAAACTATTGATATATATATATATATATATATATATATATATATATATATATATATATATATATATATATATATATTACAAAATCGGTGATACAAATGTTTTGTTCTATGAATAATTCTCAAGGCTTTTTCGAAACTAGTTGTTAGATGAATAATAATATTAACGCATACATTTCTATTCCAAAGTAGGTTTTAAAAATCTCCTGGTTAGAATTTACCATTGCTACATGTTACTCAGTTTATATGGTTTTCAGGACTCAGGACTCTCTACAAAACAAAATTATATTGGAAAAAGTACATTATTTCATGTCCTTTTCACGTGCTGCTAAATGTGGGGACATGCTTGTAATTTTATGTATAATAGAATTTGTATATATTTAAATACAAAGAATATGTAGATTGTATACACAACCTGCATTTTTTATATATCCATATATATCAACTGAAAGATGTATATATTAAAATCCTTTGTTCCAAGAAAAGTGGGCGGAAATACGAGACTACATAATAAATGTGTAACTCAGTCAGTAAGCAGGAATAAAATGTAAAAGTAACATTTGAAGAGAATCTGGGACATGTTAGATCTTGAGTTGCAGATACATGGAAATACCACTGTAAGTAACATAAAAAAAATGTGATATGTGAAGATTACTGTGAACCAAATGTACACTGCACTGATTTATTGTCAGTATTTAGTAGACCTAGAGGACTGATGCATCTAATGTGCGAGCTTTGCAAAATATATTTGGCACTGAATTTTTGGCAAGCTTTGTAATTAATAGGTAGCTTTATTATATAAGTACTGCATTAAAAAAATACCATTTATGATACTGTCAGGGTATCCCCATGCTTTCTGATCATCGTAGTTACCAATATGTATTATGAAAGAACAAAATGTTGAAACCAAAGAAAAAACACTCAAACGTTATCATCTTCCTTTAAGTGACCTTATCAGTTAATCTTATCACCATTTGAGTTCGTAAGAATGAGCAGATTATAAAAAAAAACGCAACTGTAGTAGGGGGAGGGGCATTTCACTCTAGAAATTCCGTACACCCTAAAAGGAAATCCGAAAAAATATCCGGAAATCCCGTACACCCTAAATGGAAATCCGAAAAAAATCCATGAAATCCTGTACACCCTAAATAGAAATCCGAAAAATCGGGAAATCCCGTACAGCCTACATGGTAATCCGAAAAAAATCCAGAAATCCTGTACACCCTCAGTAGAAATCCGTAAAAATCCAGAAATCCCATACACTCTTCATTGGAAATCCGAAAAAAATCCAGAAATCCTGTACACCCTCAGTAGAAATCCGAAAAAAATCCAGAAATCCTGTACACCCTCAGTAGAAATCCGAAAAAAAAGAAATCCCGTAGGAAATCCGAAAAAAATCCAGAAATCCTGTACACCCTCCCTCCAGAAAACACCCTCCCGTAAAAATCCAGAAATCCCATACACTCTTCATTGGAAATCCGAAAAAAATCCAGAAATCCTGTACACCCTCAGTAGAAATCCGAAAAAAAAATCCAGAAATCCCGTACACTCTTCATTGGAAATCCGAAAAAAAATCCAGAAATCCTGTTAAAACCAGAAATCCGGTCCGAGAAATCCGTAGAAATCCGAAAAAAAAATCCAGAATCCCGTACACTCTTCATTGGAAATCCGAAAAAAAATCCAGAAATCCTGTACACCCTCAGTAGAAATCAAAAAAAAAATCCAGAAATCCCGTACACTCTTCATTGGAAATCCGAAAAAAATCCAGAAATCCTGTACACCCTCAGTAGAAATCCGAAAAAAAATCCAGAAATCCCGTACACTCTTCATTGGAAATCCGAAAAAAATCCAGAAATCCTGTACACCCTCAGTAGAAATCCGAAAAAAAATCCATCCTGTACACCCTCAGTAGAAAAAAATCCAGAAATCCCGTACACTCTTCATTGGAAATCCGAAAAAAATCCAGAAATCCTGTACACCCTCAGTAGAAATCCGAAAAAAAATCCAGAAATCCTGTACACCCTCAGTAGAAATCCGAAAAAAATCCAGAATCCCGTACAGGAAATCGAAAAAAATCCAGAAAACAACCTGTAAACCGAGAAATCCCGTACACTCTTCATTGGAAATCCGAAAAAAATCCAGAAATCCTGTACACCCTCAGTAGAAATCCGAAAAAAATCCAGAAATCTACAGGAAATCTCCAGAAATCCTGTACACCCTCAGTAGAAATCCGAAAAAAAATCCAGAAATCCCGTGGAAATCCGAAATCCTGGTAGAAATCCGAAAAAAATCCAGAAATCCTGTACACCCTCAGCCGTAGGAAATCCCCAGAAATCCTGTGTCATCCTGGAGAAATCCGAAAAAAAAATCCAGAAATCCCGTACACTGGAAATCCGAAAAAAAACCCACCCTCAGTAGAAATCCGAAAAAAATCCAGAAATCCTGTACACCCTCAGTAGAAATCCGAAAAAAAAATCCAGAAATCCTGTACACCCTCAGTAGAAATCCGAAAAAAAATCCAGAAATCCCGTACACTCTTCATTGGAAATCCAAAAAAAAAATCCAGAAATCCCCTACGTAGAAATCCGTTTTCAGTTATAAGTAAACTTTTCTAAACAAAGAAAAAGAAAAGAAAAGAAAAAAGTTAAAATACCAAATTATTTTTATTTTTATTTTGAGACCGCCTGTCAGAGCTTTTCAGAAATAAAATCCGTAAACCAAGGAACGAAATAATTTTACCCTAAAGATGTCTTAAAAATCGATAAATAAGTGTTATCAACTTCGAGAAACACCTGAGCAGTTGGTGTTATGTTGAGGCTTTTCCTCAACTGCTATGGAGTGCGATTGATGGACACAACCTCAATCAGACGTAGAGGAAAACACAGAATATCATAAAATTATACCCAATTGATTTAATAACAACAGAAATGATCTATGCTAGATTCTAGACGAAATCGACCACCGTAACAAAAATAATTGAGCTCTTAAGGCTGAACTGCAAAATTGTGTTACGAATTCTTGATAAAAAGTTTTAATATTAAATAATGCAAATACAATTGAATATTAATGTCTGAAATGCCTTGCTTAACTATCAAATCTTTTTAAAACTCGGGCAGGTGAATTTATCAGAAATCGCTGACACGGTTTGGTATCTACATGCTTTGTGACCTTGTGTGCCATGTTTTAAACTATTTGATCGGCCTGCTGCGTGTACAGATTTTTTAATACCTACCAGTACTACTGGGAAAGCAGGCCTTTCTCAAAATGAAAAAAAATATCAATAGAATAACAGAACAGTGTTTATCCTAATCCCCTATGTCTATTCCGTATTTTTTTTCAGAAACAGGATTGCCCCTTTTAAAATGCTGAAATTTCCATGTAATTGTGGCTATTTCTAGAAGTGAGTTGGTTTAAACGATACTCAGTTAACCCCGAGGGTAACCTATCTGATTATGAGGAAACGAAAAATCTGTTTTGTGGTAAAGTAGTTCATTTAATGTAGAACCTGTAATGTAGCATCTGATAACAGTTTAGTTTTTAAAAATATTTGCGATGATTTGATGATTTTTTAAACGCCTGTGAAAATATAGGAAATCCTTCGAAATCTGGAAATCCTTGACAAATATGACTGGAAATCCGGAAATCCAGGTAAACATTAGGGATTACGGAAATCCCGGAAATCTCGTACGCTATTTTGGGTAGTGAAATGCCTCTTGAAGTGGGGTATATATTTTGATTGACTAACTGCAGTAATTAATTCGTTTACTGTAATGTTACACTTTAATATTTAGTCCTTCGCAATCAGTTTCCGATGTTAGAAGTGAAAGGAAATGGAAAATGTCATGTTTATCACGAAAGTAAATATGATATTGGGTGTAATTTATGGAAGGTCAGTAAACTCGCGTAACGCTTGAAGAAAATGCAGTGCAACGGGAAGAGTATTTGCCACTCATTTCGATAATTCATCTTTTTTTTCTTTTTTGGGTACAGCCCAAAATATATGTGTATATCTTTTCAAGCACAATGCGCCATTCCTTTTTCTTACTGCGACGTTTTTCCTCCGCAGCCACACTGAACTTCGGAATCATGTGCAAGTACCCGTCTCTCTCTGAGGCCAACGTGACAAAGGCTTTGCACGAAGACAGGGGAAGTGACGCTCACCTCGTGTCCTGGGTCACCGAGGACTTTCTTGGGGAAGGCGACAATTACGCCAGTGCCGTTACAAGCGTCAAAGTCGAGTACACTCATGGTGGAGAGACTCATGACGTAAGTTACATCGTGAAGTTGAAAAGGAAGAGGGATGGAGGATCTCCCACTTACTTTGATAATATGACCTTTGAAAAGGAGGCCAGATTTCTGACTGAAATTTGCCCTTTGCTGAACGCAGAACTGTTAGCAGCTGGACTGACTCCTCTGCGGGTACCGCGATGTTGCCATAACGCTGTGTCTGAAAATCAAGATTACTTATTCCTGGAAGATTTACGACATAAAGGCTTCAGGCGTTATGACCGTAAGAAGGGAATCGATTATTTACATGCAAAGCTTGTCCTTCAAGAATTGGCCAGGTTGCATGCAGCCTCTTTCTTGTTGCGCAAGAGAAAGGAAGAAGACATGGTTACTAAACACAAATTCCTTACATGGGAATGGCACAACTACTCCGACGAAGCACGCAAGGAATTCCAGACTCTCTTCGCAGGAACACAAAACAGCACTTCCGCACTGGCAGCCGTAATGGGATACGAGTCTCTGTCCAGGTGGTTCAAGAACACGGCTTCTCGGGGCTGCGAGTTTGTCGAGGAGCAACTGGATAGAAGCAAATTTGACGTGATTTGTCACGGCGATTGTTTCACTAGCAACATTTTGTTCAGGTTAGTTTTTTATATCGTGAAAAAAAAAAAACGTGCTAATAAAATTATCAGTGCATATTCTAATAAAATCAAGGTGTATTTGTTCATATTATTTTTATTCAGATACAATGAAGAAGGGCTACCAGTTGAAGTGGTGCTGCTGGATCTTCAAATTTGTCGAGTATCGTCTCTGGCTATTGACCTGAATTACTTCATTTTCTCGAGTATCCCGCGCAGTGAAAGAAATGAGCTCGAGGAATACTTGTCGCTGTACCATTCATCATTCATGCGAGTCATGTCTGCCGCGGGATGTGATATGCCCTTTACAAAAGACGAAATCAGCCAAGAATTCAAAAGGAAAAACACTTACGGGTTTGTGTTTGCTTCGATCCTCATCCCTATCCTGGTGTCGGAGGCTCAGGATGTACTGGAATTCGACTCGGCCACGGACGGGCGTGCCAAGGATTTCGTCGAAGAGTTGCGCCAGAATGCAATGAGGATGCTGGCCAGCAATCGTTTACTGAAGCCACGTTTAAAGGACCTCTTTGATGACATTGTAGAATTCCAAGAGCTGTGAACCTAATGACATTATAATGTACATATTCTCTCTCTCTTAGACACACACACACACACACACACACACACACACACACACACACACACACACACACACACACACACACACACACACACACACACACACACTCAACTCACTCACACTCACTCACTCACTCACTCAC